TGGGTACGCCACTGCTAGTAGGGAATACCATTTACTTCTAACCACCGCTAGTTGCACAGCGGTAGGTGTTCATATACGCTGATCATCTTCATCTCGGGTTTAAAAATGCAATCATAAATATTTTAGCCAGTTTGAACTTCATCTCAGGTTCAAAAATGCAGTCATAAATATTTTAAGCAGTTTGAACTGTTTTTAAGCATGTTTTCATAGCACAAGTGCATGGATATTAATTTTTTGTTGCTTTCCGCTTTTTCCCATAAAGAAAATTCTGTACTGCCATTATAAGTCATGTATAATTGTTTTATTGGGAAGCATTTGTCCAGATTGTTCCTCATTCTAATACGCTGCGTTTCGATGCTGGGGGAAGCATTTGTTGGAAAAGAAAGACTAAAAGATTTTTTGCCCGGAGTTACCGAGGGTGAAGGAACTGTATTGCAGGAATGTCATAATCACCCAGAATGTGTGGGAATTCGTAAAGCAGAAGTCTATCTCAACCTACAAAAAGCTGAACAAGTTTGTCTATGAAGATAAAGATCCTCGATTCGCTGTTTTCATGAGCGAATTTCATCATAAAACATTCGTGCGTCAGGAGATTGGCCTTAGTGATGCGCTCAGGTAAGACTTGTTATGCTACTGTGGCGACTTAGTAAATGCATATTTTTTCTAGACGGGAAAGGGTGCTTCACGTCTGCGCCAACTACTTGAAAGACCATTGGGCGAAGTATAATATTGTCCCAGTTGTTCTCTGTGCCGAAGAAGACGTTTTGGCAAGGTTGCAAAGCAACTACGACATGACTTTTACTATCAAGCAGTATGTTGCAGGTTTGCTTTCGCTGCTTTCTTTTTTTTTCGCTTCGTGTTTTATATCACCATATGGAGCTAATCTATTATTCCACTCTTTTTCATTTTTGTTTTGCGAGGGGCAAAATCTTATCACAGCAAAATTTTCAGTTATTTCACTATAAAGTGAAGTGTACTATCGGCGCAGTAGTTCACGATTCATTCCAGGCATGAAAGATCCAAGAAAACAAGAAATTTTGGATAGTATGGCTGCGTATGACTCCTCAAGTGCTGGTGGAAAAATAATCTTTGAGAACTACCTGTCTCATGACGAGATCACTGAAGGCATTGCTCGTGGTGTGATCAAAAAGGGAACTTTCGCAGTACGTTTCAATTTTTAAATGCTTGGAATAGTTTTTTTTACATGATTAAGAATTCTTTTCGTACATGCTATCTTTGACGTTTTCAAACCGCGTGACTGACTCAAGAAAAGTCGTCTGCAGTACTTTTCAGAATGGTTACACCACCTTTTTCTATTGTATTGACAGGTTTCACGGGAGAACTATCGCGAAGCTTATGTTATGGTAGACTCAAGCACTATGACTTCCTGGTTCATTCAAGGAACTAACTGCAATAGAGCCATTGATGGTGATATTGTTGCAGTACAACTGTTACCTGAGGATGAGTGGACTTTACCAGAGAAGGTAGTCTCATGGAATTTTTGCTTGGTACATTCACAATGCATATCTATTAAAGAAAGTTTGCCTACGTGACGTCGAAGATATGGAGTTAAAATCCAGTGATTATGAAGCCGAAGAATCAGACGAGGATGTGCCCAAGGTGAAACGAGCAAAAATCGCTCCCCTTCCCACGGCTAAGGTAAGGCGGCAAATGATTCAGAAGTTACATCGTTGTTTGCGCTAACAAGCGAACGATAACCGATTTTCTTTGCAGGTTGTAGGAATAATGAAGCGAAATTGGAGGCCATATTGTGGCATTTTGATGCGTAGCCAGCTCAAAAGTGCTCGGCGTCATCTTTTTTGTCCCAGCGACCGACTTATCCCGAGGATTAGGATTGAAACTGAGCAGGTGTGTGCTTCATCGTGCTATGAAATGAAAAAAACATTGCATTGTTGTAGGCTGACATTCTTGAAAGTCAGAGGATTGTGGTTAGTATTGACCAATGGCCTCGTGACAGTAGATATCCGCTTGGACATTATGTGCGTGCGCTTGGCAAAATTGGTGATCAAGAAATTGAAAATGAGGTGAGCTATCCCACAGTAGGACGTTATCAAGTGCAAAAATCATGCACAGAAAGACATCGAACCTTTCTTGTTTGAAATCACTTCCAAAAACGTTTCTCTCCAGGTTCTGTTGCTGGAACACGATATTCCACACGCTCCTTTTTCGGATGCTGTGTTGGAATGTTTACCTGGAGAAAACTGGAAACCAGATTTGCAACCACCACGTATTGATTTGCGACACCTTACTATATGCTCGGTAAGCAATGAAACCGTTTAGTAGTTCAGCATATTCACGATTTACCACCTGCCTCCTAATGGCGGTTCCTGGGTTTCCATCCGGTGATGCGGGGGGTGGGGGTGGAGGATATTCTGAAGGAAGGTGCGTGGCATGGCCACGTATTTTGAAATAAATTTGATATGCCAAAATCCCCTCTCTCCCGTCCAGATTGCGGGCGTCTAATTCAGAATTTATGAAGGGTCCGCGGCGGCAGAAGCGCCGCAAAGATTTTTTTCGAGGCTAAATTGAATTATTGAAAATCAAAAGTTTTTATAAAATTATCATATTTACGAGTATATACAAGTCACTTGCACATTTCTCAAATCCTAATAGTCACTTTCAAAAATTTTGCGGCCCATTCTCCGGTGGGTGCCCCATCACTATGGCAGTAATCGAAAGTCATCTTGGTTATGATTTCAAACAATGCTACGAATTATTGTTGCTTCAGGTCGATCCACTAGGTTGCACTGATATTGATGATGCCTTGCATTGTCGCCCTCTTGATAACGGATTCTTGGAAGTGAGTAGCATTTGATTCTAATCGTAAGATCTCCAGCAGAGAATTTTGTCGTGAAGACACGGTTCTATGCTCATGCATCATTTACCTTGAACGCAGGTTGGAGTGCACATAGCTGATGTGACACACTTTGTCAGAAGTGGTACCGCAATCGACGAAGAAGCTGCGAGTCGAGGAACTACTGTTTATCTATGTGATCGAAGGATTGACATGTTACCTGCCATGCTCAGTAGTAATCTTTGCTCACTGCGTGGTGGTGAAGAAAGGTAATTCTTGACTTTTGAAGTTCGCTAACAAGAGAGGGTGTTTTGGTTGAAATGACTGACTGAAATGAAACGGGTACTTGGGAAGTTTCTGGGGTGGGGCTGATCTCATATTTTCTCCTTATCTGTGAGAAGCTTTTTTGTAAAAGTTGTAAATTGTTCTTATTGAGATCGTTAAAAACGACCTTTCGTTGGTTGCCTACCGCTGGGTTACGGTGCTATAAGGGACATCGCGATGCAGGAACAAGGTTTTTTGCATACTAATTTTGCTAATTTCCTGCATCCTAGCAATCCTTTGCAATTGTGCGAGATGTGCGAGACTAAGTGCGAGACTTGACCTGTTCCACTAAAATGGGTACGTAGGAGCACGCATATCACCACAGTATTCAGGTAGTGTTTAAGACCAGCGCTTTCCAGAGACGGTCAAGAGGCGCGATTTCTCTGGCTGTCACCAA